GTGCACTGCTAGGGAGTCCCATACTAGAACGAAATGGCTGTCCAATGGCTTCAGGTTTTCCATGGTGGTCTAGCTTTAAATGACTCATGATTTCAACTATTGAAATTATTGAAATCTTCACAAAACCCCTTTTGAAATATGTACATTATTAGTTTTGATTTAAATTACCTGTTCATAGTCTTTCACAATAAAAGTAGCTAGAAAAAACAAGGTGTCTACAATTTGTGATTGTTTTAAAAGTGTACTTTATTGTCGAACTAATCTATATATATATTGTAAGTACTGCATAAACTAGCATATGATTGACATAAACAACTTAATCAGTTTTGAAGTTAAAGAAACATACATCATTTAATGTTCAAGATGATAAATTTGAATTAGTTCTTTTATTTGAATATATGGTCAATGTATATAATACAAAAGATTGACATATTTTGTGTTAGTTACAGAAAAAAAAAGTAATTAAGGAACATCTGGAACTCAAAACAACTGTCTGTCAACTAATTCCAAAGTCAGAATCTTCAATACGAATGTCAAAACTGTTCTACTACTGTATGAAGTTGAAACTAGGGGAACTAATACAACCATCATCAAAAAAGGTACAAGTATTTATAAACAATTGTCTACGCTAGATACTCAATATCCATTGGTCGGATACCATCAGCAACAAACTACTGTGGAAGGAAACAAACCAGCTTCTAGATGAAGAGGAAATTAGGAAAAGACGATGGAAATGGATAGGACATACATTACGCACATCATCAAACTACATCATGAGATAAGCGCTAACTCGGAATCCTGAAGGGAAACGGAAAAGAGGAAGGTCAAATAATGTACTACACCAATAATTGGAAGCAGACGTGAAAAGGATGAATAACAATTGGGAAGAATTGCCCAGAACAGGGTTGAACGGAGAATGCTTATGCGCTTCAACATGGGGTGAAAGTAATTAATACTTTCAATACTGTCTACACATTTCGATGACATTTGATATGAACAAAATAAACAATCATTCGTTAGCCTATTTAAGTGATAAAAATTGATTTATCAGGACAAATTTTATTTTAATTTAGTCTAGTAAGTAATTTTAATTTTATATCAGATGGGTTTTGTGGATATTATCGTAAATTCAATGGTTAAGATCATGAGTCAGTTGAAGCTAGACCACCATGGAAAACCTGGAAGCAGTGGACGGCCGTTTCGTTCTATTGTGGGACTCCTCAGAAATGCGCATCCATGACCTCTCCCCCTGCGAGATTCGAACGGTGAAATTCACTTCATGTTATGTAATGTTACATCATTGAGACATTTTCTATACCATAATGAAATTACACCAGCTTCACATGTCAAAAAATGAGAAAAGATAACTAAAATACAATCTTGTGCTATAAACGACTTATTTCTTTCATAAATAGTTATCATTATTTAGTAAGCAATACATTTTAGAAAAGATTAATAAATGACGGCTCAATAAGTTTAAGAATAGCTAAACAGTATAATAGATAAGTTGTGCATTAATAAACGATTCAGTTTAAAGAGATCTAGTGTTCTCGTGATGGCGTGGATCGGCAAAGCAAAAGCAGCATATCTACGATTCAAGAACATCTGGAACTCAAAACAACTAATCTGTCAACCAACACCAAAGTCAGAATTTTCAATACAAATGTCAAGGCAGTTTTACTGTATGGGGTGGAAACTTGGAGAAATATGAAAGCCATCATCCAGAAGATACTAGTGTTTAGTAACAGTTGCCTATGTAAAATACCTCGGATCCGTTGGCCAGACACTATCAGTAACAACCTACTGTGAGAAAGAACAAACCAGATCCCAGCGGAGGAAGAAATCAGGGAGAATCGCTGGAAGTGGCTAGGACATACATTGAGGAAATCACCCAACTGTGTCACAAGGCAAGCCCTCACTTGGAATCTTCAAGGCCAAAGGAGTAGAGGGAGATCAAAGTACACATTACACCGAGAAATGAAGACAGACATGAGATTAATGAACAGTAATTGAATAGAAATAGAAAGGAAGTCCCAGAACAGAATGATCAGACAATGCTGGTCGTCGGCCTATTCTCCGTTGGCAGTAACAGGCGTAAGTTCTCACGTGCAAGATCGAAGGTTTTGTGTTCGAATCCCACATATAGGATCGTGGATGCCCACTGCTGAGGAGTTGAATACTACGACGAAATGACCATTCAGTGCTTTCACGTCATCAATGATGGTCTATCATCAATTGACTCATAATCTCAATTTTGAGAATCTAACATCAGCATAACTTTCTCATTGTCTAAAATTAATTCATCTGAATCCTTCTAGCTGATCTACATGGATTTATAATTGAATGTAATCGTTTTGAAGAAAACATTATTGATACATTTCATGATATGGGAATAACGATTTGTCTTGTAACCTATAAAGATTTTTATTATTATTTTACTAATAGCCGTAAGTCAATCATTTAGTTACATACAATGTATAATATGGAACAGATGTTCATTTAATTAAGGTGGTAAATTAAATTGAACTACCGAAAAAAGAAATGAATATAAAGAAAGCAAACAAGAAGAAATAATAATCGTGTAGTGTGTGTTACTTATATTGATATAAGTAGTATATAACACGAGTCAGGAATATTATAATGTCTGGCAATTGAAGATTGAGAAGATCAAGAAGGAAAGAACGGAAATAGCTAGTAATTGGTATGGAAATGCAGGAATAATGAAGTCTAAGACAATTAATGAACATTTTGCAAATTAATTATTAGTGTATGGTTCTTCTATTTTATCAAGTAACTCTGTAATTTCGTGCAAAACATGATTCTGCTATCCCCAATTGCGTTCTCCTTCAACATAAATAATACCAACTTTGAGAAGATTAAGTTATGAAGTTATTGATCGAATAGATTGGGATGAAAATAACTCGAATCCAGCAAGCGGGATCGTGAATGAGCATTGCTGAGGTGTCCTACAATAGGACGAACGGATCATACAGTGCTTGCAGGTTTTCAATGGTAGTCTAACACCAAACGTTTCATGATGTCAATCATTGAGATATCCCTATAATATATTTGTTATTAACTTCCTACCCAATGTTTAATTTATTTGAAATTATCGAGAACAATTTCGGGATTGATACCTACATTACATTCTTAGTCGTTAAGTTACATTAAAACAACGATTCGTAAACATTTTTATAATCCAATGCTTGTAACTAACGAGTGTCTTTTACTTTGAAATGTTACAGTATAAAATAAGATATAGTGGATGGCATCGTATTATCAACCTTCTTATTAAATAGATAGTTTTCTATCCTTCTCCAAAGATGGAATAAGTTCTGAGATAGTAACTCACTGAAGACAATGATAGACGATGGTATAGTGGATCTGATCAGAAGTTGCTTCAGAATAGATGGCAGTTTAAGCTTATTTGATATTCAGTAGATTCCGAATTACCGAGGATAGATTAAGTTGTGTATATAAATATTAATTATACATTCAATGTAATAGTCGTTGAGAATTAATTAAAATTACTGTATATTAACTTCATTATCGAGAATGTGACCCACTTGTATTGTAAGCTCAAAACTCTGGCCCCAGTTACTAATTTTAGCGTGGATGTGGATTGCTGAAGAATCTCAAACTGAGACGAAGCGGGCACTTCATACTGCTTGGGATTAGGTGTCTCTCTAGTTGTAGTTATTCGGTAATATGAAATGTAAACTCAGATGATGTGAGTTAAGCCTAACATCTACATCTTAATTAATTGAAGAGTAAGTAATATATAAATTCGATATTGTCTAATCACCTAGAGAATGTTAATAGTTTGTATATAAGATGCTTATTTCATTAGACAGAAAAACTTTTTTTTACTAACAGTCTTGTCTTTGACATCAATTCAACCAATCTACTCTTAACAGACATTATTACCAAGCCATATAATGTAATTGTCTGTATCATACTACTTCATTTCAGAATAGATAGTGATTAAAATTTACTCAAGTTTATGTGCATGATAAGTAAGGGCTGAATTAACTAACTGTTTTCTATAGTATGTATTTTCATTTGCTTCAATGTCATTTTATCACTACTGATACTACTATCACTACCGCTACTTTGGTATTAATATCAGCGATTTCGTCTGCGTTTGCTGACTTTTTGTATTAACTTGTACCAATGTACATACATGTAAAGTCTTACTTATGACTGACTGATTAATTAATACAGAAGTAGAGAAAAGAAGTGATTATTTGAGGACACTTTATGTTGAAGGAAAACACCAAGTTAACTGGGTTTAAACACTATCAACAATAGTTGTTCACTAAAGACTTCAGATATGCATTAATTACATATTCTACTTGATACAAAATCTGAGTCTACTGTTTCAACTGTATTCAACTTTCTGATATTGAACTATCTTATTTTTCAAAGTTATTCACATCAAAGTATTCATTTGATTACCGCATAATGGACTGAGTTATTCACTATCTGGTTCTAGATGGTGGTTAGAGGTAGTCGACAGGAAACCCCTGGATCCAGGTTTCGTGCTACTTGGCACTCGTCAGCAAGGTGTACCTGTAATCTTGAGGGAATTGGTACTCCCTGGCGGATTCGATCCCGTGTCACTCAGCTTCACAGTCAGAGACGCTACCACTTAGCTACCCGGGCCGCGACTGACCTCCTGTAGGACTGAGATGTAATCACAATTGATTTATCACTGGGTGGTGTTCAATGTCCAGGGTTTCCTCTCGACTACCTCCAACCACCATCTAATCTCAATATATAGTGCACGCAGGGTCGAGTCACCTAGACTGGTGGCCACATTCCAACATGGTCGATACCATTCGATCTGCACTAAATAAGGACTAGACATACATGACATTGATCACCACACAGTGATCAATCAATTGTGACTATCTGGTTCTAAAAAGTAACTTGATGCTTTCAACTAATGATGAAACAAAACTTAATATTAAGACAAAATATTGATTGTTATAATTTACCTGATTCGCATGAATCAAATTTTGATTCATTAATTGGCAGTTGATCCAAATGGTTTTCTTCTTTTTCTGGTGTAAAAAGGTCGCATCTTACTCCACGATATTGGGAAATACAACTAGAACAAAGAAAAAATAAAGTAGTTTTTGTCGGTTAAAAGATTATGAATGAATCTATTATTTTATATTTCGTCGAAATAATGGTAATGTTATATTTAATAGTTGAATTTATGGATCCATGAAGGCTAGATAAACATAAAGAACCTGGAAGCATTAGACGATTGTTTCGTTCAAGTATAGGATTATTCAGCAGTGCGTATCCATGATTCTGCACGCGTGATTTGAACCCAGAATCTATCGATTTCACGCGCGAACGCTTAACCTCTAGACCACTGAGCTGGCTGCCATTCAACGGTGTTAATGTTTAACTTCAACCAATCCAATTATTGATAAAGATTAAATATAAACTGTACAATAAGACAGAAAAAAATGTTTCATTCAATCATTCCAAATAACATGATAAATATGAATTATTAGATAGTTTCAATGCAAAAGTTTGAATCGCTTTACTGTACTGTTAAAGATAACATTTATTTCATCTATGTGAAATGATTCTCCTTAGGAAAAGCAAGAAATTTATATTGTTATTGTTATGACCCTAGAAACATAATGAATTGTAACTTTGGGATCGTTTTATGGACCAATACTATGAGTAGTCACTGCCTCCCATATTCACGGACACATCTGGCTAACTTTTGTACAAATGTTGTTTTCTATTTTATGCTATGTTGTGGTCTGTGTGATTGATATATAGACTCAGTATGTTTGAAATATTATAATAATTCATATCGCAGAGGCTGAGATTGGTGTTCTGGACTTAACTGGCTGGGCTAGGCAGAAAGCAGGAACAATCAAGACTCTAGGCTGCTCGCACGTGTTTTACGCGTACTTAGTCCGATCGATAAGTCACTGCCCTCTAATCGGCGATCACAAGTTATAACAGTTATCCTCTGTTATATCATTTTAATTTGATTAAAAATTCAACCTTCAATAATAGATAGTGTCTATCAGATATGAAGTATTTTAGCGTACATTAAAAGCTTGATAACAGTATTAATTCAGTATATACAAAAATTACATACTTATTTACCTACGCCTGTTACCCCTCGTAGAGGAGCATAAGTCACCCATATACAGAAACTATTTAAGAATCAGGGTGTATTAATGAAATGTTTCTGAGTAGTATTAAACTTTTCAGATGATGGCATTGTATCACTCTTAATGTGATTAAACTTTATCAGGTTTGATTTCTTACTGAAAGCTTGTGGACTCATTTCAAAGCAAATTACTCATGATAAGTAATATTCTGTTCAATGATAGTATGTTTACTGATGAGCGATGGATGCAAATGAACAGGCACTTTCTGATTGTTTAAACATAGATACAGATGTACTTTTATATCATTGTATATAAAAAAGTGTTCGTAGAGAAATATCTAGTTTTGATAAGATTTACAATTGATTAACTAACTTGTTCGATAGCATTCGATTTGTACTAAAGACCTAAAACATATGACATTGATCACTACTCAGTGATCAATCAATCGTGAATACATCTTAGTCCTACAGGAGATCAGTCGCTGCCGGTATAGCCTAGTGGTCTTTGACTGTGAAGCTAGGTAACACGGGATCGAATCCATCAGGGAGCACCAGTTCCCTCAAGATTACAGATACAGCTTACTGACAAGTGCCGAATTGCACGAAACCTAGGTTCAGAGTTTCCTGTTGACCACCTACAATCACCGTTTTAGTTCTGAATAGATTTCAATATTACTTTTAAGTCAACACAATTTTTAACATTCTTTTAAAATGTGAACAGTTTACAAATTGTAATTATAACTTTGTGTAATGTTGCAAAAGAACTGTACTGCATGACGTAGGAACTGTAAAATTGTCATAAGAAATTGTGTTTGATTTTTGACTTTTATTAGGAATTTGGTTTGTATATATATGTCATATGCTATCAACTTACTATTGTTGCTCTGTCTGTTCTAAACAACTGGAAAGAATTTGTCAGAACAGTATTGGTTAGAGAATTCTGATAGGCGGTGTTTACTCTTCCACGAGGGGCAAAATACTTAAGCAAGTAAGTAAGTTAGTTTGTTTATTCTCTATATTTTCAAATTAATCCATTGATAGTTATCAGTATACGGTTGTGGAAATTATCAGGTTTTTGATTGAGATCATGAACCGATTGATGTTAGACCACCATTGAAAACCTGAAAGTACAAGATGGCTGTTTCTTCCTATTGCCGAACTCCTCAGCGGTGAGCATCTACAACTCCACTTGAGGAATTCGTAAGTTATATAGAAAAGGTTTAGAATACTTATTCTGGCATATATTTGATAATAAGTGTATAATACGTTTTCAAGAATGATGATTATAGAATGCATAACAATTCACAAGCATGATCAAGTTGATAAAAATGAGCAAGTCAATGTTTAAACAATATAAGAGTGTATTATTAAAAATTCTATAATTCACAAATGATTTCAACTAGACATTTGTGACAGAACTGTAGTTAATTGGATGATGCAAAAGATGCATGCAAATTGCATAATCAAACATAAAATGATTTGAAAGCATATCATTTTTAGCGCAATACATATTAGTAATCAGCCTTTTCTGGGAGAGAACAAACCGGCTTCTAGCTGAAGAAGAAATTAGGAGAAGACGATGGAAATGGATAGGACATACATTACGCAAATCGTCAAACTGCATCACGAAGCAAGCCCTAACTTGGATTCCCGAAGAGAAGAGGAAAAGAGGAAGGCCAAAGAACATATTACGTCGGGAAATAGAAGCAGATATGAAAAAGATGAATAACGACTGGAAAGAGCTGGAAAGGATTGCCCAGGACAGGGTTGGATGGAGAATGCTGGTGAGCGGCCTATCCTCCTTCACGAGGAGTAACAGGCGTAAGTAAGTAACATATTAGTAAAAGTCAAAAGCGTTTTATAGATTGAATGATTACTGATTGGTCATCCATTTAAGTATAGAAACAATAAGAAGATAATATAAATAAACCATTGTATACTTTTGTAATAGTCAATTTATATCTTCATCTTGAAAGGTGTATTATACAATTGAGTCAATAGAATTTAGAGTGAGACTATCATTTATGGACGACCTTTGAATGACACCAAAGTGACCTTGAGAGTGTTTACCTACTTCCAAGGCTAAATGAAGGATTCAAAACAGTTCGAAAAATAAGGATTACATTTTACAGTTGATGGTTAGGGTTAAGAATTAAATTTAGGGTTTTTATCATGAATTGACATCAGCTTTAATGCCAAGACTCTATTTAGCCAAATGGGTTAGTGAATTTCGTGCCGAAATCCAAGACCCGTTATCCTAAACCTGATTGTTTCGTCCATAGATTATAGTCTCGTCAAATTTGGTTGACTTTTTTTTCATCAGTAAAATTTTGTAGTAATAAATGTTAGACATTTTCATGTGTTCGATTTTATAATACGTTTTAAGAGATAATCCTTTTACTGCTACTACTACTACTACTACTACTACTACTACTACTACTACTACTACTACTACTACTACTACTACTACTACTACTACTACTACTACTACTACTACTACTACGACTACTACAACCATGGTGTGTGCTACTGATGTCGATAGATATAAGTAGTAAGTACCATCAGTTAAATGTGAAATACCTGGCAGCAGAAGGTTAAGAAGATCAAAGAAAAGAGAAGGATAACGCAGGAATGATTGATGTGGAAATGAAAGAACAATGAAGTCTGGGATGATTGATTGACGTTTTACATATGAAGTATTTACTGTGTGATTCTCAGAGTTGACTAAGAGATTCTATGATTTTGTGTTCAAATACATTTGGTTGTCCCGACTTGTGTTCTCGTTCATTACACTACTACTACTACTACTACTACTACTACTACTACTACTACTACTACTACTACTACTACTACTACTACTACTACTACTACTACTACTACTACTACTACTACTACTACTACTACTACTACTACTACTACTACTACTACTACTACTACTACTACTACTACTACTACTACTACTACTACTACTACTACTACTACTACTAGATAACAGTTCATATGAAATCTTTATGATTCGATACTAAGTAACTGTTATTCACTGTATTAAATTTATCTGTATAGAAATAATATTTTAGGTATTTAAAATATAGAATATTGGTTTAATTGTTCTATTGATAAATTAAAGTTTCAAGCATAGAGTTCCCTTCATTGCTATGAAGAGAACAAAAGAAGAGTGTGGTGTAGAATAATATGAAATCATTTCATTTAATTAAGTGCTTATCAGCTATTTACAATCTGAAATATCTAAAATCGGAGTTAAATGTACAAATTCCGGTAACTCCAGCTATGTGTAAGAGATGGGAACGAACTCCGTTGGGAAATGATGGAGGTATACGATAAATCACTCGAAATGATTTCGATTTATCTACATTCTACGCAGTCAATCTTGCGCTGACTCTCTCGAGTCGACCAGCGATATCTACTCAAATGAAGGATCAATTACCTCAGTTGGCCTCCACAATGTGAATTTACAAATTCAGCTTCTCCTGTGGAGATAGCTATATCGGGCATACTACCAGACAACTTAACCGACGGATAATTGAACATCTACCAGCACGGTTTATGAAGGGCCAGATAAAAAAATACTTAGTTCCACCTTGACACATCTAATTGATAACGATCATAATGTAGATAAATCGAAATCATTTCGAGTGATTTATCGTATACCTTCATCATTTCTCAACGGAGTTCGTTCCCGTCTCTTACATATATCTAAAATCAACGTTATCACAGATATTGACATACATATAGTAAATACGTAGGTGATCAAAGATAAATATATGTATCATGATGTAGCATAGATTCCAATAACATTGTTAGTGAGGTCATTAAAAAATTGTTTGTTACCCATAAATAAAAAAAGTTTGAGAGGGAAAGTTCCAGAACATTGAACTAGCGATTAAAACTCATGGAGTTAGCAAACATTAGATTATTATGTAATCAAGTAACTGAAAACAGAT